AGCCGTCTGCCCACTCTGGGTGCCGGACTCCCCTGGGTAGGCTGCACCGCGCAGCACCTGGCGCAGCACCTGTTTCCCGCGGTGCAGGCCACAGCTTCGGGGCGTTAGGTACATGAACGCCGCCATGTGACTGTCGCCATCACCCGGTGCCGAATTGTTCATATTCCCTAGCCGAAACAGCCAGGGACAGCAGCCAAGCCCCGCTTGACTGAGCAGATCCAGGAGCGACGTCCTCCAGCGCGGGGACCCTCCCTGCATGTCCGCGGAGCTCAGCCCTGGGCCCCAGGAGGACGGCTCCTGAGCCAGCAGCTGGCTGCAGCTGCAGAGGTGTGGAGCCTGCCCTTCGGCCTGGGCCAGCACCTTCCCCACCACTGCATGCTGGGCTGAGCCTGGTTCAGGTCGGATCCGAGTGCCTCCTGTCCACTGCCCCTCCTGGAGCAGGTACACAGCTCTGGAAGCTGGGTCAGTCATGGTGTCGGGCACTGTCTCCTTTTTTTGTTTGTTTCGGAGAGGTTTTTGCTATAGGATGCGTGCGCTTGCCAGAGACAGAAAGCGAGAAATCACCCTCCAGGGAAGATGGCCACACCGCGATCCCTTCCATTCTATCGGGATCTTGGGCACGCACACACATGCGCCCAACCTGAGTTTTAAGCCACCGGGTCTGGGACTTGAACCGTGGTCGACTACATGGGAGTCCAGTGACATAGCCATTACGCTAACTGCTGGTCCCGGGCGCTGTCTCCTGAGACTGCAGATGGCCCACAGTCAGCAAGTGGCAGTGCCAGTGTGAGTCAGCGTGGGCTCATGGCCCAGCCTGCAGGCTCCCGGGTGCACAGCAGAATTGATGGGGCCCTCACCTATCCCACTGCCCTTCAGAATGAACCCCTCAAAAAATGGTGGAGCCACACGGGCTCTTGGTCAAAACTAGGCAGGGTCACCTGGCCTCTGTTCCTCATGATGACGCCTCAGAGCAACTGCAGGTGCCCAAGGCCACCACCCTGCTGAAATTCACTGCCTCTGCAGAGCCCTGGCCTCACGTCTGCAGAGGGGCCCCGACTGCCCCTGCATTCTCCTGGGGTCCTCACAGACCCAGGGCGCCTCTCCCTCCTCAGTTCCTAGAGCTGGTGGCTTCTTGCGGCCCCCACTTTCTGCAGCCAACTTCCCGTCCCTCCCAAGGGCAGCTTTCCACCTCTGAGGGGCTCCCGTGGCCCTGACCTTTCTGGTCAGACCAGCCGCCTTCCACTGTGCTCCAGAGAGGGCACGGGCTCGACCAGCACAGCCGTCCGCCCGTTCTGGGCGGGCCACGCCCCCACTGCCGGCCTTCCGTCCGCAGGCGTGGCGTGCTGCACCTCCACCAGAGCCGTGGCATCGACGACCTGGGCCCCCCCCGCTGGCAGCTCACGGCCTGCCTGGTGCTGGTCATCGTGCTGCTCTACTTCAGCCTGTGGAAGGGGGTGAAGACCTCGGGGAAGGTGAGGCTCGGGCCCAGCCCCTCTGTGGACTTCTGGCCACGGTCAGTTGGGGTGGACACCTGACCATGGCTGGAGAAGGGCCTCAGAGGGGAAGCACCCACAGCGTGTGCTTGGCGTGTGCAGGTAAGCACAGCTAGTTCCACGGATCTCGTGTATACCACGCTGGCGTCGTGTGAGCGTCTGGGAGGCGGGGCTTCGTGTCGGACGCTTATCTCTGGGACAAGCCTGCAGTGTGCCCATGCTCACGCCGGGCCCTTTTCCAGCCCAGCTCTCACTGTGTCCTCGCTGTAGTGGCCTGCAGCCCTTGACGCCCTCCCCTCCTCCAGGTGGTGTGGGTCACCGCCACCATGCCGTACGTGGTCCTCACCGCCCTGCTCCTGCGCGGCGTCACCCTCCCTGGAGCCGTCGATGGCATCAGAGCGTACCTGAGCGTCGACTTCTACCGGCTCTGCGAGGCGTCTGTGAGTACGCCCTGCTCACAGCCGAGGGCCGGGCTGTGCAGTGGACTCCACAGTGGGGCTCCTGTGTCCAGGGAAGGTGATCCCTGGGATGTAGATGCAGGGGGTGCCCACCTGCACCCCCGACCACCCTGGCAAGTGCACCAGGGAGCCTTGGCCGCAGCCTGGGTCAGGGCACACCCCGCTCGCTCTCTGCGTGAGCAGAACAACCTATGTCCCACCGCAGCCTCTGGCCCTGACTGCTTGGCTTCCCGGAGAAGCAGAGGGGTCTGCCCTGCCCAGCGCGGGTGTGGCTCGTGAACTCAGCCATCTGAGCTGCGTGAGCCAGGGCGGCCTCCTCAGGACTCCCAACTCCTAGTACCCACGGCACAGAAAGGAGTGAGCTAGAAGGGCCGTGGGACCTGGGGTGAAGGGGCTGGCCACCTGCCCAGGTGCAGCGAGGGCGGCAGACAGGCGGCGGGGATGCTCATGTAGACGGGAGTGCAGGGTGGGCAGCGGGCAGGCTCCCAGAGGCCAAGGGTGAAGGAGTGGGGGGGTTCCGGGGGAGGCCAGGCTGAGTGTGGAGCCAGAGCCGCAGGGCAGGAGGGCAGGGCCCGTAAGAGTGCGGGCAGCAGCCCTGTGCCAGCTGGGGTGCAGACCCAGTCGGCCTGGGGGCACAGCGGGCACTCGCATGGGTGGCCAGGCCTGCGAGCTGGAGGCCGAGAAGGGCAGTCGGGGCTGGTGAGATGCCCCAAGGCCTCTTGTCCCTCTCACTTTCTCCGCTGTCTCAGTGCACGCGCTGCCATCAAGGAAAGGTAGGAAATAGCCTGAGGGCCCTTTAGATGCTGGCGCCGCAGCCCGGGGACAGCCACCCGCCCCGCCTCCTAGAGGAAGCAAAGCCAGGGCACCCACTCCTTCCCTCAGCCGCCCAGCCTGTGAGCTGGCTCAGAGCCAGCACGGCCGGCTGGGACGTAGGACAGGCCCTTCGCCCTTGCCACAGCCGCTCCGGCTCAGCCCCTTCCTCTGTGCAGAGAGCCTGCCTCCTCGTAGCCCTAACCGCCTAGCTTGGCCAGCTGTCCTGGGACACACTGTCCCCGACACAGGGCCGGCCCTGACAGAGGCCCTTCTGCCCGCAGCTCACACCCACCCATCAGGTGCACATGAACAGCCCAGGACCCCGAGGCCACCTAGTCTCAGCTTGAGCTGTGGCACCGCCTCAGGGTCCCGGCCACTCGAGGCCAGCCCCCAGGACAGAGCAGCCCCCAGAGTGCGGCCCCTGCCCCTGCCCACCTGAGACCTGCATCTACACGCCCACCCCAGCGGCAGGCCTGTCCGCTCTCCCCAGGCCCACGTGGTCGAGCCAGGTCCCCACTCCCAGGTCCCCTCTCCCAGGTCTCCACTCCCAGGTCCCCACTCCCAGGTCCCCTCTCCCAGGTCCCCACTCCCAGGTCCCCACTCCCAGGTCACCACTCCCAGGTCCCCACTCCCAGGTCCCCACTCCCAGGGCCCCGC